TGGGGTCACACACAGCCCAGTGCACCCACTGCCACCAGTGGGGTCACACACAGCCCAGTGCCACCAGTGGGGTCACACACAGCCCAGTGCACCCAGTGCCACCAGTGAGGTCACACACGGCCCAGTGCCACCAGTGCCACCAGAGGGGTCACACACAGCCCAGTGCCACCAGAGGGGTCACACACAGCCCAGTGTCACCAGTGGGGTCACACTCAGCCCAGTGTCACCAGTGGGGTCACACACAGCCCAGGGCACCCAGTGCCACCAGCTGGGTCACACACAGCCCAGTGCCACCAGTGGGGTCACACACAGCCCAGTGCCACCAGTGGGGTCACATCCAGCCCAGTGCAGCCCCTGCTGCAGCACCAGCCCTTCCCAAAGCCCTGGGGAGGGCCATGGGTGCCACTCTGCACCTCCAGGGCTCACCAAGCCACAGGCAGGGGGGATTATGAATAAAATCAGGCACAGAGAGAGGAAATTCCAAGGCCAGGCTGGGCACTGGGGCTGGAGCAGCCTGGGACAGAGGCAGGTGGTGATGGCACTGGGTGGGCTGGAAGCTCTCTCCCAGCCAAACCAGTCTGGGATTCTGGGATTGCAAAGCTGTGGTGCCTCAGGATGCCCCCAGGCAGGCTCAGTCTCACAGGATAAGGTTTTTCCTTTGGTTCCAGCCTGCCCTCCCCTTGTTTCCCAAGCAGGACATCCTCTCTCCTCCTGGACAGACCTGGATGCATTTTCCCCACACCAACAGGGTCCCTGGGGTCTGTGCCATGCAGCATGAGCTGCTGGCTCAGTTCTCCCAGCAGGAAGGGCTTTGCTTCCTCCCAGGAATTCTGTGGTGCTGAACACCCTGGATTGACAATCGCAGAGCCCAAATTCCTCCATTAATCTGCTCTCATGGTGTTTTAATACCCCAAGTACAAAGTGAGCCAAGTTAAAGGCTGGTATCTCACCAACCTTTTTTTTAATTTTTTTTTTTTTATTAAACTCCTATGTCATAGAAGTAAATTAATCTTTTAATACCAGGATTTCCTGCTACGTACCCCCCTCTGCTTGCTGTGACAAAGCAGCTGCACTGAAGGGAGAATGCTGATTGGGAAAATGCAGAAAATACACAGGGCCTGCCTGGATGCAGGGAAAGGCTCTAATCCAAAGGCAGCTGGATGATCTGGCTGTGAATTCAGGCTCCCAGCAGGGCCCTGGGGACAGGGGGGCATTTCCTGCCCTTGGATGAGGCACTGAGGGAAGAGATTCCCACCTCACATTGTGGGGACACTGCTTGGATTGAGCCCCTGATCCCCTCCGATCTGGCTCACAGAGGATGCACATTCCTCCTCCCCAACGAGATCCACTGCTGAGGCACAACCCTGTCACAGACATCTCTTATGGAAAAGCCTTTCTATAGGATTTGTCCCCCTGAGAAGCTGAGAGGCCTCAGGAACAAAATAAAACATCGATTATCTGCTGCTGTGGAATGCAACAGGTGCATCTGGGATTGGTCTCATGTGGTTGTTTCTAATTAATGGCCAATCACAGTCAGCTGGCTCAGACAGAGAGTCCGAGACACAAACCTTTGTTATCGTTCTTTCTTATTCTATTCTTAGCCAGCCTTCTGATGAAACCCTTTCTTCTATTCTTTTAGTATAGTTTTAATGTAATATATATAATAAAAAAATAAACCAAGCCCTCTGAAGCATGGGGTCAGATCGTCATCTCTCCCTCACCCTGTGAGCACACGGTCACAGCACCCAGCCTGTACAAAATGGGATCCATTGCTGCAAACCCCAGTGGAACTGCAGTGTGTCCTCATGTCCTGCCTGTCCCTCGTGCAGGAGAGGCCCCTGGGCTGCTCAGAGCCCTGTGCCAGGGTTAATGATGATGTATGGGTGCCCTCCCCCCCGGGCTGTGGGGAGGGGTCACACTGCCAGCCTGGGTATCAACAGCAAATTACAAACCATGTCAATCCCAGCTAATGCACAGCTGTAATCCTCTTTAACAGAGATCAAATCAGTGCCATGAGTTATGTTCATTCTGTAATCTGATAAGAAATAGAGTGAGCCTCTAATAAAAGAGTAATGAGAGCCCTTAATGATGCTGTTAAAAGGTAGTGCCAGTTAAAATACTGCTGTTGTTCCAGCTGATTAGATCACTGTTGCATATTTGCACAATCTTGTTTTACCTGTCACAATAACCTGAGCTGTCTGGGGAGATAAAGGTGTTGGGACCAAACATCTGTGTCCTTAGAGGCTGTCTCTCCCTGCAAGGCACTGTCCTCCAGAGGTGAAACGGGGATGTTCATCAGAGTTTGCAGGGATCTGACACCAGCCCTGGCTTTGGAGGGTTCACAGGGACAGAGCTGGGTGTGTGTCACAGCTACAGACAGACAGACAGACAGACAGACAGACCCATTTCACACCCAGCACTGGGAAACCCCTCCCAGCACAGCTCAGTGCCCTGCTCAGCACAGGGGAATTAATTTGGGGTCTTGCATTTTAAGTGCCTGACCAGAAACAAATAAAACTGGCTCAGAGCACAGTCACACCTCTGTGAGGTGCACACGTGCATTTCCAATCCTGCAATTCCCACTTGCCAACAACAGAATTACCTGCCTCTGCCACAAAGGGAAGCTGTTATCAGTGCTGCTCCCCTCTGCAGCACACAGGCCTGGCCTGCTCTGCTTAATTCACCTGCAGATGCTGAATTCTTCTTGCCCTGTGTGGTCCAGCTGTGTCTGGACACAGATACTGTGGCTCATGCCAGAGAAATGAGCTCTGATTTTCAAACCAATGACTGAGAGCAGCAGATCTCTTCATGTGGGGATGGCTGAATCAAAATACCCACAAAAAGCCGATTTTCAGACTGCCACTGCAGTATCTGGGATGTGTTCAGTGTATGGATGCAAACACAAATGGTGTAAACTGAGGGGAAGACAGAAATTAACACCCAGCTCTTCACAAGAATTCCCACCCAAATGTGCAAGGGCTGCTGCTAAGAGGAGGCAAGAATCTGTTCCCACCTGGAACAGGACATGAAATTATTGTCCTAAATCACAGCAGAGGGAAATTCCAGCTACAATTAGGACTGTATGGCTGGAGGAACAGCTTGGAGCTACCACATTTCCTTTTGTGGTGAGAGGATCCAAACAATGCTGAAAAAATCAGAGCAGCTGGGCTTTGCTCTCACTTGAAAAGGAAAAAAAAAGAGAGAAAAAAACCCAGAGTAAAGCAAGTCAGGGAGAGATGAAACAGCACAGGTGCTATGGACACAAAACTCCTCATCCATAAGCCCCTGCAATCCCCCAAAAGGCAGCAGGTATTTGGTTTCCTTTTCACAAACAGACAAATGACATCTCTCTCTCACAAAGCACAAACATGTTCCACAACCCAGGGGAAAGATGTTTCTCAAGCTTTCTCCATCCATTCACTGGAAAAATTATTCCACCTCCTTCCCCCAAAACTGCTCAGCTTGTGGAGATTTGGGTTTAAAGTATTGCTGGAGAAATAAGGGTGGGGATGTGGGAGAGCTGTCTGCAAACCATGCACAGAATTCCACTTTAGTGTTTTCTTTACTAATTACCACATTAAAACCTTACAGCCTTCCAATAAAACTCTGTGCTCTTTAAACAGAGATAAACACAAGCAACATAAAAGTCCTGAGTGAATCTTGAGAGAACTATTGCAGTTATTAACTGAGGTAAGGAAATGCACATTACCCAGAACATAGGAGTTGCCATTTCTGTTAGAACAGAAGCTCTTTTTAAGCTCTGATTCCACCTGAAGACACCAGGTGGCTGAGCTGTGCATTCCCAGACTGATTCCATGAAATGGGGAAATGTCAACATTTAGGACTTTTGAAATTAGAACTCCTAATTTAAAATTAGGAGCTCTAAAGAAGGAATCAAACCCTGGGTGCTGAGATTTATGACAATTCCTGGTTTGTACCACAGTAATTACAGAGTGAAGGCTCAGCCAGGCTGCCAGGACAGATGTGACCAAGACACCCAGGCTGTGATGCCAGTGACAAATGGGGAGCTGATAAGAAGGACTGGAGAGGGTGACAGGCTGAAGAACAGGTCAATACCACGCTGTCATGGAGCCATTTGAGCAGCATAATTAATCTCTTACTCACCTGGCATCATCATTCATTGTGCAGGGGTCAATAGGTGCCATGAAGCTCACCAGCTTGCTGTGGACGTGGAACCTGGGGAGAGCATCAGGAACTGCTCAGAGGAGCAAATGCTGAGCAGGAGCAGCCCAGGGGACAGCAGGGCTCTGCTGGGGGCTGATCCCTCAGAAATCACCAGCTGGAGCTGGCAATTCCCCCTGCTCCCCTCTGCTGAACAGTGAGGGACAGCAATCCCCTCTCATGCCAGCCAGGGACAGGACAGCAGCCCCAGACAGACAGACAGACAGACAGACAGACAGCCCCTCCCTGCCACTGCAGCATCCATCTGCACCCCTTCCTGCCCCCAGGGACAGCAAACCCCACTCTGGAGCCATTTCCAAGCTGGGAACTCCCACCCTGAGTAACTGCAAATGGAGCATGGAAACCCAGGCAAGAGGAGCTGTGCAGAGATGGGGCATGTTCCCATCACCAAAACACTGCTGCAGCTGCCCAGAGAGAGAATCCCCTTCCACGTGCCACCCTGGGCAGGGATTTCATGATTTATATTCAAGGACATGACATAAAATTTAACAGGGTACTGAGGAGGTTTCAAACCCAGCATCCAAGGGCAGGGGACTCCAAAGCCAGGCATTGTGAGCACTGCCTGCCCCAGCCTGAGGGTCCATCCAGGCTGCTGCTATTTACAGAGCCTGACAAACAGCAGGCAGCAGGACTCACCAGCATCTGCCCAGCATCACCCTCCCACCCTGGCACCCCTGCCCTGCTGCTGTTTGCAGTGCAGGAGCAGTTATGGGCATGCTGAGCTCAGAGGGCTCCTCGTGCCCAGCTCACACAGGGGCACCCTGCAGCCTTGTCCTGGCATGGCAGGGATGGAGCCAGGAGCAGGCACAAGCTGTGCTGTGGGCACAGCCTGGCACCCAGGGCTCTGCTGGCACAGCCTGGCACCCAGGGCTCCTGCCCACTCAGCCCCAGCTGTTTGGTTTTGCAAAACCCCAGTGCAATGGGAAATATTCCATATGCAATGGGAAATGTTTCACTCAGTGCAGAGAAGGACAGCCCAGCCTGCAGCAGCAGAGCTCAGCAAACACTGACAGGAGGAAGGTGTGCACACATCCCTCCTCCACAGCCACCTGCAGCTCTCTGAAGTTTGATTTTTGGATTAATTATTTCCCCTCTTAATGCCCAAATTTCCCTCGTGCCAAGGGACAGGCTGACTGCTTCTGGAGGCACCTGAACATCCTCAGCCCCTACACTGCACCCAAATAGGCTGTAATACTGAAGCTTTGCTAAAAAGGAAGAATTAAGGAGACAGATGAAATTTGGTATTAAACACTTGGCTCTCCAGGACCTCAAAGTCCCCCATGTAAGCAGTGCTGTCCCAATTTTACAGAAGAACAGAGGTCAGGGATCTCCTGGGGTGACACCCAGTCTCTCAGTGGAAGCACCAACTATTTACAAACCCATTTGGGCTCCACTGCCCAATTCTGAAAATGCAGGAGCTCAACTGCACCTCAATCCCAAACACACACTATGAGCCTTTCTTCCTTTTATTGTTATCTTCCCTGCAGGGTCAGCACAGCTTTTAGTTAAAAAGCAAAAAGAGGCACCTGAGATGTCAGAGCTGCTGGGGGCACAGCCTGCACACCAGCAGAGGTTCCCCATCACTCCTGCAGCCTCAGTTGTGTGATGGTGTCAGGAGTTTTGACTGAATCCTCAATATATCCAATTATGTGTGATGCTGACAGAAAGGAATATTGATAGTCAATAATTACAGGCTTTTCAGGCCAACAAAGTAGCTCTTCCCTCTTTCAATAAATTATCTTATGACATCTATCTTAAAAATTGCTATGCCAGGCCAGACCCAGCCTGACTCCAGTGACTTTCCATCAGATGCCATCTCAAGTCAGGATTTATAGTTTACTCACAAAGGATGGTTAATGTGCTGGATTTTTCAGGAAGCAGAGCAGCTTTTCAGCATCCTCCCTCCTCCACCACAAATCATGCTGATCTCAGGGAGCTCAGAAGGGGAAACACCTCCTGCTCTCAGGGCTGCCTCCCTCCCACGAGGGAGATTCCAGCTCTGAGCTCAGCCCAGTGAGTGACCCGGGAGGGAAATGGCTCAGAATGAGGGAGCTGTGATGTGAGCTACCAAGAGAGACCTGACACCAAATTCCAGCTGGCACTGGGGGAGAAACAGAGATTTACCTGAGGTGTTGCTGCACATCTTCCCTGGGAGCTGCTGCCCACAGCTCAGTCAGGAAACACAAACTGCACAAGAGGGGCTTGTTGGCTCTCTCTGGAAATTCCAGCCCAAAAGGCTCAGGGACATGTGAGAACCTTTCCCTGGTGTTTCCACAGACCTGAGTGGGGCAATGCTGCTGGGCTGCAACCACCAAGCTCTAATTCCTGGCTCCAGGAACATCAGCA